ATCTCTGGTAAGGGCGTAGTTGCGTCATTCCGATTGCACGTGTTGTGTGGTGTTGAATGGATAAACAAAGCTTCAGTGAATACCCTGTCTCTCTCCCCACCTAACTATGTTACTTTCTAATACCCTCACCATGCCCCACCACCCTATTTCGTGATTACATGCAAGTGAATGCAGTGCAATGGTCGAGGCTTTTTCTAGGTTATTTAACTTAGCAGGGTCAATCATTCTTGATCTAGCTACATTTTTATGTTCCAACAATCTGGTTGACCCCAATCTACTAGTTTGATCCACTTATGTAATTGGCCCCATAGATAGCATTACATACTCTTTGGTAAATTATATTATTTTTCGTAGTTTGATCTATTTGGTCCTTAAGTCGACAGAGTTTATCTCTGAGAGAGTTGATGGGTTGGTTGTTTGACTGGTTTAAATGTCACCCTAATTCCAGCCTCATTGAGAATCCTACGTAAAGCCTACGTATAGCCTTTGATATTCTTTATTTACACGACAGAACTATAGAGGCTTTGAATTCTATTTAAATCTTCTGTCTGACTAGTTAGTTACACTCTTGGCCCGATTATACAGACATTTAACCAAACCTATACTGCTTCACCGATTGATTCTCGATGAGATGAATTAAAGTCTAAGTATTTATTAGTGTGTGTGTGTGTGTGTGTATCAATTTCCTATAAATGCTAGTTAGCATCTAACCGTCCACCATCTTGTTTTCATTTTATTCTACAGTCTAGTCTAGCATGGCCAATTCATCCTATTCATTTTCTAATATATCATATGCAATCATCCAATTATGTTACGTAATATTATTAAATTCATTTTTAATAATTTGCAATTTTTCTGCGTCCTATCTCCCGTGTTAGGTGGTGGTATAATAGGGTGAGCAATAGGGATGTTAGAGGTCGAGTGTTGGGTAATGAGGGGAAATCAGTCGACGAGGCTGTGAAGTTACATCGACTGAGTAAGATGGTTAGGACATGCGTTACACATACATGCCTAGTCATCTCCTTCTTCAACAACGGGCAATGTTAACTGAAAAGAGTTAGCATATGGTAATCAGACTAGAAGATGGCTTCATCAGTCAATGAAATCCACAACAGTCAGTTTAAGTCAGCCACGTAGGAAGGTGTAGACCGCCAGGCTGGTTGTGGTCCTCAGGATGGTTAAACCCAGTGAAGGCAACTGTTGATATGCCACAAAATCGTTCTTAGTGGCTGGCACAGATGCATCCACTCCTTGTGATTTATAATGTCCAATAAAACTATATTGTTCTTGCATATTACTATTCATTTTGCCTCATATTTATGTTCATTATCTCTGATTGGATCTTTCGTTACTCTCTTCTCTTGCTTTGTGTACTACATGGAGTTGGGATGGGGCAATGTGGAAACTTGAAATGCTGCACTTCTGTGCAAGGTAGTTCTATGTTGAAACCAGTCAGTCAGTCAGTTGGTAATTGTAATACCTTGTCATTTTCTTTCAAGCTGTTATCAGCTAAAGAAAAGGCGTGAATTAAAGAAATTAGCCCATTCTGTCCTGGAATTATATTTCCATTCTGGCTTTGTTCATCATACATTCAAATAGAATAGTCGTCTGGAAATCCAATATCGCAATATCACATTTCACATAGGTCGAAGTAGGTGAAATTTCACGACAGCGGATTCTTTTGCAGACGGAAATTACTGAGATCACCACACCATGGAATCTGCTTGATGCCATAAATGCTATTCAAGAAATCAAGCACAAAATTGTGTGCTTTCAACTGACTCAACTCTCTTAGTTGAACACGAAGTCACCGTCAACGCGGAGGCTGTACATTCCTATAAAAACTCAACCATACCCTACTTAGCTTGTGTTGTGTGTGATAAAGAAAGCATTAGGCGTAACACCTATAATTCATTAAATAGTCAGTAGTAAAACTGAATCTCGTCTTTCCAACTCACATCATCAATAGGTACAACATTTTCTTTCTTTCTTTTCCTTTTCTCTTTCTCTCTTTTCCGTTATGTGCTGTTTTGTTTCTTTCTCTCGCTTACGGCAGTTAATATGACAGCTCCCACTTTTCTAACTCCTTCAAACACTATTTCAGCTTTACCTTTGCTACCGACATGCCAATGTGTTGTTGTAATAATGAACTGAGATCTCCTTAATCTATGTAGAATTCTATTTATTGATAATGTACAAACTGGATGCAATACTGTAGTAAAAATGCTGAGAATTCCATTCTGTATCACATGTGCTGTTTTGGAATAAAGCAAATTATTATTATTATATATATAAATATATATATAATAAACGGGCGGGAATGTTCCAGAATAATTTCCGGTCAAGGGTCAAGTTAATAAAATTACAATTAGGAATTAAAATGCCATAATAGATAGAGGGGAGAGCAGATGGATAAAACTCAAAATAAGTAGCATCATAATTATTGAGAAGACCGACATATTGTGCAATTGGGGATTAGAAATGTAGAAATAACAAGAATAGACAGGATGGTTGGCTAAAACATCTAGTGGGATCATAACTAATGTGACAAATAACTGTTTATGTTATTAGGCAGGAAGCACTAGCTATCCAAATGCTCAAACCCACGCTTTGCATCCAAAAGAAATACGTCCAACCGTTGTCCCTGCCATGACCATCATAAAGAGGTAATTATTTTAATAGTGACTATCCCATTGCCTTTCTTATCCAAACTTCCTGTTTATTCATGTTATTTTAAGTTTTTCTAAATGCCTCCTATTTACACTACCATATTGTCATATCCGAACTTCCTGTCGATTTTTTGTCATTTTATTATTTCTACATATTTAATCTCTGATTGCATAAACAATTATTCGTCACATTAGTTTTTTATCCAACCATCCTGTCTATTTTTGTTATTTCTACATTTCTAACCGCCAATTGCACAGTGTCAGTTATGACGTTACTTTGTTTGAGTTTTATCCGTCCCCCTGTTTATTATGGCATTCTAATTCCTAATTGTAATTTTTATTGATTTTTCTGGAACTTTCCCACCCATTTATTATAAATACACGAATATACAGCCTCCTAGTTGACGGTGACTTCGTCGAGAAGAAACGTTTCTTCGCTGCAACCGTCTTTTTATTCTTCTCTGAGTTAAGTCAAACAGGGTACACCTTTGATGAGGTCAGCCCTTAACGAGCAAACCTGCAGTCCAGTGTTTACACATCACTTCCATTTTGACTGAGTAGCAAGCACTAATGGTTGTTGATATGACTGGTACGTAACTACTCATTTCAGTCAACCAATCAGTAGTATATGGCGTCATGGATTTATGACAGTCCAGTAGCTACACCAAACGATGAGAATAAAATAAATAACTTACCGAAATTCGTTATAATAAATGTTTTGTTTTGTATTTCCCAATGAATGAATGAAAAAGAGCAAAACGATACTGTCGTTGTTTTTACTGATGTTTCTCTATTTAATGCTGCTGTTAATAGCTTTATCAAAGTAGTCACATTAAAGCAAAATTTACAAAATCTCAGAAACCCCCCCCTCCAACAAATGTTTAGACTTGGGATCATCACACCTCATCAGCGCAAAGGTATCAGTTGTTTCAAGTCTTCTTAGACGAGCACACTGTTTGATGTTAACGGATGAGACAAGGAAAAAAAGAAGAAGAAATATCAAACATTACTGAGACTCTCAAGCAAATTAACTACTCAAACAACTTCATCAACAAAATCAACACTGACATTAAGTATGGTCGAAAACATGGACCTCAACAGTTGTCATTCCATATAGACCATCAGAGACGTCAGACGATATCAGAAGAGTACTAAATGAGCACGACATCAGACACACGCACTACAAAGCAACCTTGTCCATATAAAAGACCAAATCCCTAAAGATTCTCTATCTAATTGTGTCTGTAAAATGAAATGCTTGGAATGTGATGCGATATACATCGGACAAACATGGCCAGGGAGAAATCAATATCAGAAGAAATGAACGCCAAAGAGCCGCCTCTGCCCGACCACTGAGAAATTCAGTTAAACTAGAAAAGCTTGAAAAATCATCAGCCAGTCGTAGGTCTACACGCTATAGAATCAGGCCACAAAATTGATTTTGACAATATTGAAATAATCCAGAAAAAGCATTTCAGAAATCACAAAGAACATCTGATATCATCAGAAGCACTTCATATCAAATGGAATCCAAATTGTCTGAATAGGAATGATGATGGACTGAAACAGAATTTGACCTGGTTACAACATCCACCCCCCCATGAAATGACAAAATCAACACGAATGTGTGATAAGCAATTTCATTATGTAAACACACGCTGCTTTTATAATTTTACACACTTATCAAATCCCACAATCTACACCTGGTTTTGTTATCTTTACCAATTGGCCAACTTGACAACGCAGAATGACCCAATGCTGATGAATGATGATTAAGTTGTTATATATAAGCTGAGATTTTGTAAATTCTGGTTTAATAATACTACTTTAATAAAGCTATTAGCAGCAGCATTAAATAGCGAAACGTCAGTAAACACAACGACAGTATCGTTTTGCTCTTTTTCATTCATTCATTGGGAAATACAAAAGCAACCTTTATTATAATGAATATCGCATATACCCAATGCCCAAACTTTTTCAAACTGTTAAAAGTGAACTTCGTTTGGACATAAATATATAACTTACCGAAATAAGGATTGCAAACGTATCCTTCGGTTTTCTCTCATTTATTTCATTTTAATTCATGCTTTCTGTTTATTTATGTATTATGAAGGAATTGACGATGGTGGTTTTCTGTTTGTTTGTGTGTGTGTGTGTGTGCGTGAACTGTTCTCCTCTCTGACTCATTTGAACATGACACATTAGGTAGTATTGTAATGATACTAGTGGTAATGTTATTAGTAATATTGATAATAATCATAATTGATATATTCTGTTATCAGACAGTATTAATCTGAATAGGGGTGGGGGAGTGATTGACTCGTACGTATCTCAGGGTATTGAGTGAAAAATAGTTTTCATTGAAGTTGTCGATGTAAACGACATTGTTGTTGTTGTTGCTGTTGTTGTTACTGTTGGTGGTGATGGTGACGGTGACGAAGCAACCTGATATCTCTCTTCTTTACGATTAATTAAAACAAACTGTGAATCAAGTGTAGACGATGATGTCGACAAGGATGATGACGTCAACAATGAGATATCTATGCTCTTCTGACAACACAGACATTTGCTTTCAGGCTTACAATAGAAATTTAACAATTGATGACAATTAGTACACAATAATTTTGTTTTAGTTACGTGACCTCCTCTTCCTCCTAGTTCTTCTTCTTCTTTTGTTTTATTTTCAATATTCTTAAATAAGTTGTCATCAGTATACCTTTCAAATGATACACTCCTTTTGTTTAAATTATGCTGCAGATGTGGATGATCATGATGATGATGACTATGAATGTTCATTTTTGGCGCCTTCGAATTTAAATCTCTATTGGTCGATTTAAACAAATGCGATGTGAAATTGTTTCGCAAATTTAAGTCATTTCCATTTCGATGTAAATCATGATTTATTCTCTGTGCATTGGTTTTCAATATATCTGAAGATAATGTTTGAATATATTTTGTTGAAGAATTTTTTAATATTGGTGTAATGAATCTACTACAGTTCAGAGAATCTTCCTTAATCCTCCTACTTGATATGGGGTAAGGAGTGTTAGTAGTACTGGTAGCAGGCCTCTTCTCCTTTTTCTTCTTCTTCTTCTCGGATATGTTTTGATGATACTGAATAGACAGAGGTGTTAACTGTCCCCTTTGTCGATATCTGATGCCTTTGTCCTCTGCTCTATAAATCGATAAAGTCAAGTTATCTTCATTAGAATCTTCTTCACTACAAGAATGTCGAATTTTTAGAATATTACACATGGCATTTTCATTCCATCCTTGAGTCTGTGCAAATCTGTCTCTGTCTTTAGCTACTTGTCTATTACTGCAACATTTTCGTGATGCTAGAGCTGCTTGCCTTACTTTCAGTTGTGTACGTAACATTTCAGTTGTCGCCATGAGTGTATTCAACAGTGCCATAGTGATTTGTTGAAATTCAGAGAAATCATTCACTTCATCCGAGGTATCATCGTATCTTTCAGGTAGATATGCTGGAATGCTGTTTTGATATCGCCTGGTCAAACGACAAGATTTACAATCACATTGATTTTCATGTTTATCAGTGGACAGTGTGGGTTTGGTTTCATTATATGGTTGAGCATTTTTTCACCTTCAAGCATAGCTGACTGATATCCACTTGGATAGTAGTTATCCATCATTCTTGGAGATTGATAATATCTACAGTTTGGATGATGACAAGTTAGCTGGTGTTGTTCATCTTGTCCATGGGAGTTGATCACTTTTGTACTTTCAGGAGGAGGAGGTGATAATTGACTGGAGAATGCCAGGCCTGAAGTACTTTGAGACTGGTGTTCACCGGCTAACAGGATATTTCTGTCTAACATAGGATAAACATTGTTCATCGGTGTCAAATTTAACATACTCTCCGGTGATATGTTCGATTCAACAAGTGAAACTGACTTAGAAATACTCTTTGTATATAGAGATCTATCCTCAGTAGAAGCATTGGTTTCATGTGATGCTTGAACAAATGAACCACGACAAATAGAGTCTTTGCTTGCAAAAGATAAAGACTTTGGTGTAGGTTTAGGAATGGAACAGTTGTCAACATGCTGGTTATCGGAAATTATGTAGGGTTGCTTCTGTGAACAGATAGAGAACCCTTTCCTCGACTGACGGTCGACATTATCCCGAGATAACCTATGAGTTATAGCACCATATTCAGAAGGATTTGGAGTGATTCGGCCTAAAGTTTCTAAAGGAAGCTTGGTGAATGTCTCGACGGAATACAAAGAAGCTCTCGTATCCAAATCAAAGCTCGACTCAGGGTCACCAAAGAAAGCTGCGGAAGATAATACACTCCCACCGAAATGAACAATATCATACTCAGTAATAGTATCTAATTCCGTGTTATGTGAATGTCTCCTGAGATCGACAAATTGTTCGGAATGAGCATAGGACAGTTTGTGTGGATCAGTGTTGGCTTGCATGTCTCTGAGTTGTGACTGTCTGGTGTAGTCGACGCTTTGATCACATTTGGCATAAGGCACTTATACACACACACACACTAGTACTTGTCATACACAGTTTTTATAGAAGGCAAGAAGGTATGAATAATCACAATACAGGTCAGATTGTGTACAAGTCAAGGTCACAAATAATGGGCAGGGAGACGCAAAGGTGTGGGTAAGAAAGACAGAAAGAGAAAAAACAAAGCAAAGAAGTGGTTGAAAATATAATGAAGTAAATTGGTCCTTGGTTCTAAATTGGATTACCAAGGCAGGTTTAGAGTAATAACAAATAACTTTTGGACACATAAGACAGGTTTGAGCCTTTTTTATAGCCAAGGCTTCAACGGATTTAAGTATGTGGCCCAATCTTGTTTTATATATAGGGTTGAAGGCATTGTCGAAATCAACCTTATGACCCGTCTCCATAATGTGCTTCGCTATAGATGATGTTGGACATCTATTTCCGGGATCAGTTGTATCTGGCGATTTTATCTGTTGTTGCAGCCACTTTGGAATGTGTTCTGTAACCCTAACCTGCAGAGACCGATGGGTCCTCCCTATATACGTGTCTCCACACATACATGTAAATTGATAAACACAGTGGGATGTGACACTATCGTTCGGATAATGTGAGGGTATGCAGGACAGCATAGTTCTCGTTTTCTCTATGAAGATAAGTTTAGCTGCATAATAAATTCTATTAATGTCGGCCTTGAGTCTTTGTCTAATGACCAGACTTCATTGGTCACCGCTGAACTGCAAGGATATGTAAACATCCTTTTTAGGAGCTGATTGGATTGGTAGAGCTCTATGGTTGACACTTCCGTAACGCCTAATAAATCTCAGTGGGTAATTGTTATCTAACAATATTTCAGTGAGGTGTTGTCTTTCTTCTTCAATTGTATCGGCAGTACATATACGGTGAATGCGCTTGAGCAAACACTTAACCAACGCCTTTTTATACTGTAGTGGACAGAAATTGTGATAATTTAGATACTATCCCGTTCACGTGGATTTTCTGTAGACAGATCATTTTACTGACCCATTTTGTCGTCGGCGGGTTATGAGTGTACATCTAAAAATGGCAGGCAACCATTATTCTCTTTAACGTATGTTAATGATATACTGTTTTGTACTTAGTTGATCTGGTTTAGGATTTCTATGGCGTCTGTCGGTTTATCACAAATGACTATTATGTCATCTACATATCTCTCTCTCTATTGACTGCATTACTCATATTATCTTTTCTATGGCTTTTGTTTCACGTTTATTCCTAAAGAGAATTTCTAAGCCTTGTGGATCTATTCTAATGAGATCTATAGTTTCGTCTGTGACTGCAGCACCAGGTAAAATGAGTTCCTCTGAGGCTGGAGATATACGCCTTGCTGAATGACGGACGATTGCCATCTTGAACAACTTTAATGAGCATAATTTCGTAATATATTGTGTACTTATAACACCTTACTACCACGGCGTTGTGTTTTCTTCTAAATACTTGAAATCTAATTTATCTTTCTCAGCGTAATAAGAGCATAGCCCAATTATGTATGATCTGATTATTGGCAAAACAATAGAGCTTAAATTAATCATGACACTATACTGATTTAATAAACTCACTCTTGAAAAATCAAAAGCATCAGCAATAGGATTTTGTACGTCAGGCAGCATTTGACGTTATTCAGAAATCGGGTTCTACAAAAGCTGTATTAAATGAAATCACCTTTGAATGGCGCAGGACTTCAACAAATCTTCAGAAGAGCCAAATTCAAAGTCAGACAGAACGCTTCAATGAGCTTTTCAACTCGCCTATATAGTTGGTTAGTGTTTAGGATATGAAGATATTTTCACTAGAATGGTGTACACCTATGACTATCTCAAAGGATAAGAAGAGTGATCAACCTTACTAACATGGTATGTAGAATTCTCCGAACTGTATTATTATTATTCCCTTGGGTTCCGAGTGGAACATACAGCTTCAACAAAACACATCTACACTTTCTTCTATTTTCTGCTGTTCCCTTCATATGACTGGCTCCACGATTGACCATGATCCCTCATCTCATCCTCCTTCTCACCACACGGTCTCCTCCATGTCACCCTCCCACTGACCACCAACTTATCGCTTCCCATTCACCTTCCACTTGAGTGAGCAATGGCCTGCACTGCCCACAATGTCATTCGACGGCCTCCTTAACCTATGACAACATCAAAAGAGAAATCAGAATAGTGAAAAGAATGAATATATATACCAGTGATTATAGTAATAATAATTATAATATTAATAATAATAATGAATGTATTTTCATTGCACAAGAATTTTATTCCTTGTGATGACGGTGACAATAATGATGGTGATAATAAAGATGTTCTCTTCACACATGCACACACCTACACACAAACACACTCACACAGGCATACAAATGTTAGACATTTTTTACTGAATAAATGAAAATTGTTTAATATTGTAATAGTTGGTCTCATTGGTTCTTTGTTTTATAAGTAGGGTGTGGGGGTTGCCAGGTGGGTTTTATTGTTAGTTAGTAGTAGTTGTTTCTATGCATAAGTATACACTATTATTAGTATTATTGTTATCATTACTTTTTATGTAAATTCTTCGTAATATAGTCAATAGTTTCAATGATTAAGGCATCTAATGCATTGGCCACCTTCTCAGCTCGTTGAACGCGTTCAATAGTCTGGATTATCGATCGTGGTGAGCATAGACTTGATTGTGCAATAGTAGTAGCAGTAGTAGTAGTAGTAGCCTGATTCGATGGATAAATTTTGTGTGCCATTTGTTGAGCAATTTTATTTATACGGAGACTATAATCTGAGTGTATTGGTCGTTGTTGGGGTTGGGGTTGTTGCTCCTCCATGTTATTGATTGGTGGTTTGTGTAGATCAGAGTTTTGTAGTGTGTCTAATGGACTCTTTCTTGTCTTTGTTAACTTTTGAATTGGATATTTACTCGACTGCTTCTGGTTTACTTCTGATGGTGATACTGATGATGATACGGGCAGTTGAGGTAGTCTTCTCTTTGATATATCACTACTATACATTTGTTTAGCTGTAGTAGTAGTATCAGGTAGTAGATGGGCAGTTTGTTCGATAACTTCCTTCTTCCTCTCGACAGTTCTACTTGAATGTTGATCTTTCATTGCAGTCGTCGTAGTGTTAGTAGTAGTATTCGTAGTAGGAGTAGTAGGAGTAGTGTCACGTTGTACCAGATCGTATGTATGCCTAGAATCAACTTGACTAGTAGTTTCTATCGATTGTGTATAATTAGCTTCAACAGTACTCCATTGTAACTCGTGTGGAGTATTCATATGCGAATGATGTTTATCCGCGATGTCTACAGACAAGGACGACGACGGTAAGAATACTTGATTTTCTGTTGCCACCTTCTCACTGAATGGTGGTGGTGTATCACTTCTAGTATCTGCTGTATGATTGCATGCGAGGATTTGTTGGCGTTGATCATCTGTCATATCAGCTATCCATTGAATAGCTTGCACGACTGCAGTCAGCTTAATTCTCTCATCATCATCTGACAATAGGCTGGCATCTTTCAACAGTCTTTTCTTAGTCTCACTAACCAATGCTTGTCTTTCCTGGTCAGACATTCTAGTCATTAAATCGATATGCTCTCGAACAGCTTGATTGAAATGCATGTCACTAAGAAGCTGATTGGTAGTCGTATTAGCACTAGTAGGAGTCGCAGTAGTCGTCGTCGTAGTAGTAGTAGTGGTAGTGTTGTCAATAGATTTCGGTAAAAGTAGTGCTGATTGTTGTTCACTCTTCGATTTCATGTCAGTATCATCAAAGTATTGTATTGCCTCACTATGACTTTCTGCTGATTTACACACTCCTTGTGTTAGCTTTATTTGTATACTGATGATGGAGGAGAATAAATTGGTACAAGTCACTTGTGGATTGATTGACAATTGAGACCTGTCAGTGGTGGTTTGTATTTCCATTGGACTTGTCAGCATAGCTGTGGGCATTTCTTTCAGGCCAGTTAACATACCGTCCCGTTGTTTTTCAGATGTTGCTTCTGGTGTCAGTGAAGTTATTGCAGTTGTTGTGAGTAGAGGTGATGCTTTATCCGATGCATTAATTTTATTATTGGCCGGCGTAGATGTATGCTGTTTTGCTGGTGAGGTGATAATTTCGTGCAGAGTTAAAATATTCTCCTGTGTTGTTGTTGTTGGTAAATGTAGATTCAAATTTGTAATCGGTTCCTCCTTGTCGTGTAGTTCACTGGTTGAATTAACTAGTTTGTAGTTTGCTTGTATATCTATATCCATGGACACTTGTAACATGCCTTCATCATTATCTGAATGAATATGACTCAGAGTAGCAGCAGACTGTGGAGGAGAAGGAGGGGGAGTATCTTTCTCTTGAATATTTGTCAGTTTGAACTTTTCTCCTCCTCCTCCTAATATCTCAGCTGTTGTTGTTGTTGTGGGTGTTGTTGTGAATGGTCTTGACATACTTCTGTATCTATCATCCTCGTCGTCGTCTCCTTCTTCTATTAATTCTTGCCTACTTCGACTTTCTGGTGTTCCACTTCTTCTCACCAGCTGAATCTTTTCTGGTGTTTCGTAAATAGTAACAAAGTCTTGAGTGATTGTTTCACTTTTGATTGCATTCCTTGACTGTAATTTCTCTTGCTGCTGCTGTTGGTGGTGTTGGTGAAGGTGGTCATTAGGCGGCGGTGGTGGTGGTGTTGTTAGTCGACTCAAGATATCACGGTCTTCTTCATCATCATCATCGTTGATAGGATGATCTGCTGACTGACTGATAGTTATTGCATCTGTAGCACTTATTTCCTGATAGGTTTGTGTTAACACATAATCAGGGGGTCTGGTGAAATCTCTCCTCGTCTTCTTCTTCTTCTGCTATCGGCTGGTCATTTTGTGTTCTGTCATCACTGCCTCGTCTCTTCACTGGTCCACTGAATTCATGTGTTGATGGTGCTGCAAAACTAAGCGCAGATAATTCTTCTTGTATTTGTTGTTGTGTCGACTTGCCTTCATCTGCCTCCTGGTCATCATTGACTTCTGATGCCATATAGTCATCGACAACACTGGTAGGACTTATAGTGACTGTTTTTCCATCTGGAGATTGTGTTTGTGGTTGTTGTTGCTGGAGCTCTTGCCTTTCTCTTAATCTTGAAAGATTTTCCACCTCTCTGTTATTGTCGTCGTCATTGTCGTTGCCTCCGTCCATTGGGGAGTATTTCGCCAGGGTGCTGTAATCTGATCCACTGATCACACCGATATGCTGTTGTTCTACACGTAAATCAGTAATCTCTTCATCAATCAATTGTGTCAGATACTTTGGACTTGTAACTAATAGTGAAGTTTGTAAGACAACTTGATTGTCAGTTTTATTGAGGCTACATTCTTGTGATATTGACTGAATAACATTTGCATCATTCACTGGATACACATCAGTATCTTTCATTTCTTCTTCCTTTGCTTCTCCTTCTCCTTGTGCTTCTTCTTTTGTTTCACCTTCATCCGCTTCAAACATGTATATGCGTGTTTTAGCATGAATAGCGATTGTTTGTTTCGACACTTCACTGTAGACATCTTGTTCAATTTTGAATGGTGTATCGATTGATGTTGTTGGCGTGGGTGCAGTTGTATCCTCTGGTGTTGTACTCATGATTATAGTCAGTGGACTCTGTGTAGACCGATGATGCTGATCAATAATTCTTGAAGGTAATTGTATATTATATTCTTGTCGTAATCGTGTTATAATCTCTTCTTCTCCTCCTTCTCCTTCTTCATCAGAGAATTTCTGTTGTTGTTGTTGTGTTTCTTTGTTCCTTTTCTGTGTAATTTGAGTTGAATAACTCAATGCTGGTGCGGGTGTTGGTGGTGAGGGAATGTCTGTATAGCCGATAGACAGTTTGCCAATAGCTTTGTTAAGCGCTTCGTTAGTCAGTTTTCTGGCTATATACATCTCTTCAGATTCCTCGTCGACTAGTGCTAGTGAGCTTGTTGGTTTCTTGATTTCACTGTGTGATGTAGTATGTTTATCACCTTTGAAATCTTCAGACAATGAACGTCGTAGATTGTAGTAACCGGTAGTAGCAGTAGTAGTAGTGGCTGTGATTACATTACTGGTGCTGCTTACCAAGTTTTCTGTGTGGCTATCATCTTTTGAAATGCAGGAATAATTTCTACGTATACTCTGAGAGATGGTTATACGAAGTTGGTTTCCTTCAGGTCTGTTTGTTGTTGGTGGTGTCGCGCTGCTGTTGTTGTTGTTTGTTCTTGTGATGGACTTTGATCAGTTGCTGTGATAGTTGGTAGCTGATGGTGACTGGTTTCTGTAATAGTTGCTTTCTTAAATATCCTGTTATTAGGTGATACTTCAATAAGATGTTTATTCAGTCTTTCATCAAATCGGCTTATTAGACAGGAGGAGGAATCTAACAGCCAGCCTAGATTGGTCATCGATGGTGAGCTGGTTGGGGCTGGATAAGGACTTTCTGAATATGTGGCGGTGGTGGTGGTGTTGGTAGTGGTTGTACCATCGGAGTGTGGTAGGCAGACAGTAGAAGCGAGAGTGTATTCTTGTGGTGATGTAGATCGTTCAAAACTGGAGGAGGGGATTCTAGTTGTTGTAGTTCTTTGTCTCAGTGAATAATTTTTCAATGGTGTACTTGTATATGTACATTTCGAGGTTATTTTCAAGATATTCACGTCTTCTTTGAGTTGTGTAAAATGTCTCTTCATTGTTGCATCTTCTTCTGCTTCTTCGTCTTCTTGTCGTTGCATGATTTCATGATGATCGACCACTTCTGAAGAGGAGGAGGGTGATGGTGAAAGCGGTGATGGTAATCTTTGAGTTTCACTTGACAAATCTGTAGGTGGTTGAATGTCTCTGCCACTTTGTGATGAGAACATCTTGTCATCTATATCGAAGTGATTCACTGTAAGATTGAATTTAGTTGTTACATTTGTTTTATGATATTGGTTGACTTTGATGTCATGGTAGGCTTGTTCTTCTTCGTCTTCTTTGTCAGTAGTTATCTTGTCCTCTAGTGGAGACTGTAAGTAGTAATCAGTCATATCGACTCCTTCAGTCTGCACAATCTCTCCTTCTGCTTCCTGTTCCTCTTCCTCTTCATTATCCATAAGAGAATAACTTTGTTTCAATTCATCAGGGGTCGTTAACATCTCATTGTCCTCCTTTCTCATTATTATTGTATCTGGTGTTTGTTGTACTTGGACAAGAACACATACCACCACCGAATTGGTGGTGGGTGGTGATTCCTTCTCGTGTTTCATCTGTTGACAGTGTTCCTCTTCATCTTCGCCTCGTGTTGTTGTTAACTCCTTCACTTCACACTTATCTTCATATTCATTCAGGGTGAACATCTCAGGTAGGTGGATGTCTGAAGTTTCTGGGTGTTTTATCTCATCCAACTCGTCATTATCATCGAATGTTTGACTTACAGATTTCCCTGTAGCTTGTAATACTTCCATCGGTTTTATTCGAATCTCGAAAGGACTATCAACTGTTTTGAATTCAATGACTGGTGTATCTGCTCTTGTATCAGTTTTTGCAAGAGTTAGATTGTCCATGACTACTGGGACTTTAGATATTTCCAGTTTTGTAGACTTCGCTTGTCTGTCGTCGGCGGCGTCGTCGTCGTTGTCGTCTGGTTGAGGTGGTGCCGTATTAATAATAGGAGTCTCCCTCATCACAACAGCGTGTTGTTTTTTGACTAACTTGGGACTTCGACTCTCAGCTTCTTCTTTTCGTTCCAGTCCAGAAGTGATTGTATCAGGAACTCGATCCAACACATTAACACTTTCATAAGGTACATTTTTCTCTCTAGCATCTTTCACATTGTACAAATCGTGGTATTTCTCTTCGTGGATTGTTTTCATTTCTGGTTGTTTATCTTCCATTTTAACTGTTTCATGTGTTTGTTTGAGTAGTATTTTATTCTCTGATTTGGCTGAATGTTCTTGCATCACCTTGCTTGTTTCTTTAATATTAATTGGATGGCTTGTCGTTTGATACGGTTGTTGTCTGTTCATGGAAACTTCACCCAACTCATCATCATGATCATCATCATGATGTCGCTCTACTTCCACTGTACGGGCTACAGTGATAGGCGGTTGTGAGTCGTCTACAAGTGGCTCTGTTGCATCAGTTAACTCTTGGAATTGATGATTTTCATCATCGTCTAGTGGCTGTTCAGTAGTAATCTGTGTTAAATGAAGCTGTTTACTGACTCCGGTGTCAGTGTCCATGTCGTGTATGTCTACGATGTCACTTGGTTGTGCATGATCTACTTCTAGACTGACTACAGCGATTTGTTCATTCAACTCTTCATCAACATTATATGTCACAATGTTTTCTGATAAACTATAATTGAGTATATCAGGAGATGATTGAATAGCCTCCACATTCACCTCCTCTATGCTCTCTATCAATTCATCAACGTGTTCAGTAGATTCTTCTTCTCCTTCTACTTCTTCGATTTGGTGTAGATGATCAGGTTGTGCTCCACTCTGTGATGATGGCGATGGCGATGATGATGATGATGACGCCTTGACAGTTTCTGTGCCAGTCGTCTCTCTTTCTGCTTCATTTATCACAGCATCATCATCATTCTGCATTGGAGTTTTAACTTCTTCTTTCAATGTAGACTCATCATATGAATCCTTCTTGTCAACGTCAACAGAAGCGGCAGCAGCAGAACGAACAACGTCTTGTTCGTTGACTTCTACTTCAATTTCACCATAACCACTTGGATTACTTTGAGCAGTATAATAAATACTCGAGCTGGTTGTTGATTCACCACTCTTTGTCGGCACTGGTGTTTCACTCAGTTTACTCAGAGTTGTCGGTGTACTTGTCTTTATCTGTTCAGAATGTTGATGAGTAAAGCTTAGCTCACTTCTATAGTGGATTGATGGTGATACAATAGATGTCATTGATATTGTTAAGAATTCATTCATGTGAGCTGGCACCGATGCAGTTGTCGTGGTGTATGTTAATTTTGCAGTTGTCTGTCGATTGACTTCATTGTAGCTCAGACTACTTTCTAGGATAATTTCATTCGCACAATGTGGTTCCTTGATTGATGGTGATAATAATAATAAGTTTGAGGTGGAGGAATGTTTCGCTGACTCTTCACCACAACTCGAAGTTGTTGTCGTCATATGCATGTCTTCTTCTTCTTCCGCATTCTCATCACTTTGTTCAGATGAAATAGCCTCCAACTGGTCGTCGTCTGTTTCTTCATTTGTTCTTCTAGGGACAATTTCATACTTCTCTACAAATGAGTCATTACCTTCTCCTCCTCCGATTTCGATTGGCAGTGGTAGACTCAACCTTTTCGACTCCGCCGCCGTCGACCTCGCCGCCGCCTCCTCCTCCTCTTGATCGTCATCGTGATCATTGTATGCCTCATTTCTCTCTCCGTCTTGTTCTTGTTCTTGTTGTGTTTGTGTTGGTGACTGTATTTCAGAAATAGTTTTCTCAGCTTCTATTTTGAATTTGAGGTTTTTGGTATTATCCTCCTTGAGTAGAACTGGTTGATCGATTGCCTCTAATTGTTCCATGTGTTTAGTCTGTGAACCACAGAAGGAGTCTTCAGTATTTAGTGGTGGTGGTGGTGGCGGTAGTTGTGTTTCAATTACTGCTTCATTTTCCCAAATCTGACGCTTTTCAGTTTCTGTTTTCTCCACTTTATCATCACTCCTTTCTTGAGGTACATCTCGCCTGAAACCAATTTCATCATTATAAGATGATTGTTCCGTAGCGAATATTGTCTGGCCTAAATTCGCCTCCTTATGGATTCCCTCCTTGAAATTGAAAGGATGTATGCGTGCAGAAATTTCAATCTCTTCGTCATCTGAATCGTCTACTCCTGACACTTTTCCCTCTTCAATGCTTAGATGATGCAGATCAAGTCTTCCGAGACTTCTTGATCTAATCTTCAATCGTAGTATAAATTTTGATATTGACAGACGTGATCGTGTCAGTTTGTCAAGTGATAACGATATACTCCTCTTCTTCAGGTGTGCTTTTTTATTACTGTTATCCGTAAAGTTGGTTATCAAGTTCAGCTTATTATCATTTGCTTTAGAATTTTGATTCTGTATGTCACTGAGATATGCGTTGATTGGTTTCTGCATTACAGCCTTGTTAGACGACTGTTCCGTTGGGTGTTGTTGTTGATTCCGTAGAGATACGATGTCGTCACTCATCGCCTCCTCCTTCTTCGTCGTCCTCCCCCACTCCCTGCTCTCTCCGTTCTCCTTCTCCGCTTTAACCTCTACTGAACAACATGTTGTCATGGTATATTGATTCAATGGAACACCGAGTAATGGTGTTGTTTGAATTTCAATTGTTGGCGTTAAAGGCATATATATTCTACCTGCACAATGACTTTCTTGGTTATTCTGACACTCTTGTTCTACAAAATAGGCAACTGGTTTCTCTTCACCACTGCCTTTCAGAGCATCGAAAACCGCTTCATCTGATCTGCTTGCCTCTTTGTGAATTCCAGTGTTCACTAGTGGAGCACACAGCATCTCTTCAATGGCGCCTAATTGTAGAGCTTTCCTAGTCGGTGCAATAGAACGATAACTTGCCTCATTCTCGGTTAGCGTTGAATCATGGGCATATTCTGATACACCGCCAACACCACAACCTCTGTTTCCATCTAACTGCAGACTACTGCGACTGCTAGTACTACTGCCATGAATATCATTGAGTCGGTGGTTCTGTTCAAATGAATTATGTTGTGTTTGACAGAGTAATTCTGGTATGATTAGTGTCTCTTTGTAATACTGTTCAGGTGAGTATTCTGTCAGCATCATTTTTCCACCAATCATTCTAGTTCTGTTGAGGATATCCAAGAATTGGAGATCTATGCGTCTTTGGTGCATAGTCGAGTAGAATGTAGACTCTTCTTCAACGTGTGTTGTTAC